AATTATTTTCTAGATTTTTTTTCTTTCTAGAGCCTGATTACTTTGTTTCAAGTTTATAAACTTGTATAAAATTGTATAAAAATTCTCGTTAGAACTTTTATTTTGAACCATTTTGTAAGTGGAAAACATTCCACCGGTTTGGTAATAGTGAAAATAGTCGTTTCCATTACTTCAGTTAAGTGCTATGCGTGATACACGCTTAACCCTGTATCATTCGATACATGACTGACGAGGCAGATTTTTTTCCCGCATTAGGTTGCCATTTCTTTCTGCAGTAGACCAGATGCCATCCAAGGCTATAGAACCCGGTTTATTTACCCATAGCAGGACAGAACATGAGAAGAGGATTAATACCTTTCTCAAGGGTATTAGCACGTAAGTGAATGTAATAATTTCGGTTGGAATTCGAACTCTGCTCTCCGAGCTGCTATCCATTATTGCTATCCGTGCCTCCATTTGTTTCCATACATGAACCATTTGGCATTCATTGACCCAACAGTTGACTTTACTGTCGGTCGAAACTGATATTTCTCTTTAAAAAATTTTTTTTTTCAGAATATTAGACACCTTAAGTCTACTGTTTATCGTATTAATGGGAGTTTCTGTTAAAATGTTTTATTTTTGGTTGTGTGGAAAATGAACCGCTTTATTATATCAGTTAGTTTCTGTTCTCGTTACATGTGCTACCGATTTTTGTTGTTATTGCTATTGGAAGTTTTCGCCTGATGTGGTTTTGCTATCTTAGTCATTTTTTTTTTTAACGCCAGTCTATAGAGTCTGATGAAAGATTGTCTTATTAAAGATTTAAAGTCTTTATTCGTTTGAAGCCATTTTTAATCAATGAGCCGAGAAAATTGTTGTATACAGATAACGGTTGTTTCTGAATGAGGAGAACGCCTTGCATGACATTCAGGCGATTATCGATCTAACGAGGCTATTTAACCCTCCGTTAAACACATGGCGTGTTTCGTTACCCCCAAATTTTTAAAGTACTCGTAATTGTAAACAACTTTTTTTTCTTGTGCTGCCTCCCACTACTCTCCTGACTCAGAGTGTGTAGCATGCTGTGGCACAGTTGTAGCTCTGATGTTGTGGGAGGCAGATGCCAGGGGACTACCCATTTCCGAAAATCCGAGGTTACTAACGCAAGGTTATGGTTCTATTCCAGACAGCATTTGTGTTTGGTACGAAAGAGTACACTGTTTTGTTAAAAGTCAAAAGAGGAATTAAATTTGCTTTCAAATTTTTTACTGTTTCCTGATTTCTTTCTTAGATTTCTAAGAATTTAAGAAAAATATTAAAATATTTTTTTTCAAAAAATTACTACCTCCACATCTAATTAAGTGAATTATTTGGACTAATATAACATTGTGAATGCCTTCTTCATATATTTTAACCCTGTCTCAATTTTTTTTTTTTTTTTTTTTTCGCTTTTATAAAACTCTCTATTTGGTGGAGAGTGAAGATGCTCGTTGAAATCCATAAAATAAAGATTAAGATATTCGTCAGAATAAGTTTTGGTGAGTGAAAATGAAAATACATCATAAAGTTAGATTCATATAGGTTCAAGCAAGAAACATAAACCACCATTTTTTTTTTTTTTTTTTTTTTTACTTTTTTGAATTTTTGCTAAGAAAATGTAGGAGTCTGTCTGCCGACGCTGGTGACCAGATGTACGAGTAGTGTAATGGTTATCAGCCCGAAAAGAAAATTCAGAAAGCAAACTCTGAATTCCGGCTGGTTCGTTGCGTTTACTTTCGTACATAGATTCATACCGATCTAAAGGTATGAATCTATGTATTCTCTCTTCAGCTACAGATTAAATAGAGCAGGCTGAGCTCTATAGCCATGCTTGACGACTTGTTTAACAGAAAGACGACTCTGAATTCAAAATCGGTTGTTGTGCTAACGGGCGGATAGTATCCCATCAGCTTTGGCCGGCAATCTATGTAGAAAAGGTGACTCGATAAAAACACCTATCCACCAACAACTTGAACCACTCGTGGGGATGTGTCGGTCCGTAAAAAAAAAAAGCATGACGACATAAATTCTTAACTCGCGTGAGTCGTGCAATCTACCGCAGGCGGAGATAACGCCGTCTTTTAAGAAACTATGTACGGGAGTGTGGAATCCGCGAGCCGGGTTTAAATTCCGGCCCGGCCTGTTGCATTCACTTTCTCACAAATGCCCTTGGCGAAAGGGCATCAGTTCATCAGTTCATCTCTTCTTCCACCACTCGAGCTATGGATTAAATATGACGCAAGACTGAGGTGTCTTGCGCCATATTGCAACCTGTCTAAGAGATGTGAAATTCTGAATTCCGAAACGGGGAAAACCTCTCTTGTCTTTCCCAAGATGTCATAGCAATTCATACAGGTTAAATAAAAATAAGTTATGAAGATCTTTGACTGCCTACGTCCTGAAAGGACGTACCATTAAAAAAAAAAGTTGTTGTAAGTTATAGAAATATATTTTGAGGGGCGGTTCTACTATGGTTATTCTGGACTGTAGTGTAAATCGTCATATTCACAGTCAGACGTTGAGTGTCGATGCAGATCTGAACTCCTGGTGAATCTCAAAATAGAACATATTGTTATGAGTCACTAGATAAAAGTAGCATTAAATTTATCTATATATTTAGGGACATTACAAGTCACAATTAGTATTTAGTATGGTTACTATAGGCACGACCTACAGCCTCAACTCTACGCAGGATGAAAGAATAGCCATTAGGGCAATTCTGATGTCGTCAATTGTGGGGAAAAAAACTTTTTTATTTTACACAAATATGGCAAAGCGCTCCATCGTTATTGGATTATTTTACCTGAGAAGATGTGTTAATACCTGGGACCGTAGCAAAGGAATGTATTTCTTTTTTTTTGCTGTTCAATATTCAACCTATTTTTATCAATATTCTTGCACCATTAATTTTGATGTAACCCCCAAAACTTTAGATTCCTGAACCTTAGTTTTCGTTGTATATCATTGATTGTTTTAACATCATCTGGTCTCCGAACATTTTTCATTAAAATTTAGTTCAATTTTGCTTTCGTGAATTTTGTTTTTATTGTCCAGCAGCAGATGTACTCTTACTAAATTATTTCGTCTTTTCTGACGTTTTGACTACTGACAGCTTCTTTGTTACAATACATCTTGATTCTTGATAAAATCGAAAGAATCTGCAATGTTATTGGTCCTGGTCTGGCATCTCGGCTTAAGTCAACCCCCCACACCTCCGTAACGTAGCTTCATTGTGTCTTTTCAATAAATACTTTCATGGTAATTGCTCTGATGAACTTTCTTCTATGGCACCTAAACTTTATAAATTTAAGCGCAGTACTGTATTGGCGGTAATATCTCATCATCTTACAGCTGAAATTGCTAGATGTAACCCTAACTTCTATGCTAGCAATTTCTTTTCTTACACTTCTCGCTTGTGAACTCTCTTCCGGCTTCTTGCTTTCCTCTCAAGTTTGATCTTTAGGGACATTATTATTATTATTATTATCATCATCATAAGTAAATAAAAATATAAAATAATAATGAAAATTATAAATAGAATAAAACAATAATATTTAAACTCATTTTAAAATTGATTAAATAAAAAAATATAAAGACAATAAAAAATACTCCTAGCATGAAACGAAAGCTGTTTCTGCCAAAAAACCTTAAATTCAATCTCTTCACCACGAACCTTGGTACGGGCAACACGTGTCCGATTTCTTTCTGTGATATGGCGTGTAATAATACGAAATAACTTCTTCCTCTCATTGTATGTACCATAAAACAATTGTAACCTAAAAAAGATACCTACACCAATACGCATAAAAATATAAATAAATTGTATAAAATTAAGATACAATTTACCATTCTTTTCCTGTTATTTCTGTATATTTTATTTCCTGTCATCTATGCTTTTTTTTCTCCATGAACATAAAGCTAATTCCTGCTGCTATGATGTGAGTGAATCCTACATGTTGGTGACCACCGACGTGCATAATAAAAACAAGCTATTCACCCATAGATCTTCAAAAACTGAAATGCAGTATCAATCGTCTGACTTCTGCCTTCTTAATTCCTGTTCTTTTATTGTTTTCTCTCCTCAAGTTTCTTTTTTTTTTTTCTTATGTTCTCTAACATTCCGTAACCCTTTGCGTCTTAATGAATTTATTGCCTTGCTTGGGGTGTTTAGATTAAAAAAATCCAAATGGAAACATTTAAATTATTTCAACATAGTATCTTTCTTATATGAACACTCTACTCGTAAAGCTGTTTACATCCATTAGCTGTTAAATTTTTTTTGGATGCTGATAACTTCCTTTGGTCAAGCTCTCAACATAAGCATATTTCTCTGTGACTTTTCTGAGATCTTTCATGCTCTTTGCTGATTTCACATTAACTTATTCTTTAGAACATTTCATTAAACATTTCATCGTATTCTCCGAACTCGGTCTTCCAATTATTAACTTTAACTGCGCTAAAATGTTACATTTATTCTGTTTCGTCCATTTAACATAAAAAGCTGACATGCATGCGTTAATGAAAACTTTTACCATGTAGTTTCAAGTGGTTGATAACATTTGCATGTCTTATTTTTAGCATCACTATGCATTTAGATTTGTATCTCTCATTCATACTGTATCAATGTCAATGCACAACCCAGAAACATTGTTTATGAATTCACATTGTCTAATAGTTACGACTTCTAAGTAAAAATTAAACTGATTTTTCTTTTCTTTTATTGTTTGTTTTGTTATCGAAAGGTTTCTAATTTTTTTACTTGCTACTGTATATACTTGAATGGATTTCCATGAGAATTTACAATAGAAACTCTCTGGTGTAGTCGTGATGAAAATTGATGGGGGGGTGTTAAAATGAGAGCAAATGTATTTTAGAAAAAGATAACGCATATAATCCCCAGCCATATTTTTTGAATATCAATGCGTATAATTTTTATAGTAATTCAATATATTTCTTTGTGAAAGTCAATCACAAACCTAATGTATGTACAGAGTAAGAGAGATGCTTGTTGCAGATGTATCAGAGTTCAATAAATCAGAAGCCATAACTTCTATTTTCTGTGTTCGGCCATTCTTAATTTGATATTTTTAAGTTTATAAAAAACTTTCCCCAATCCCTTCTATTTTCCTAAAATTCTCTCTCTCTCTTTCTCTCTCCTCTCTCTCTCTCTCTCTCTCTCTGTCTATCTCTCCTCTCTCTCATCTTTCTCTCTCTCTCTCTCCATCTCTCTCTCTCTATCTCTCTCTCCATCTCTCTCTCATCTCTCTTTCTCTGTCTTGGTCTCTCTATCTCTCTCTCTCTCTCTCTCTTCTCTCTCTCTATCTCTTAAAGAATCTCTCTCTTTCTTCTAAAGATTGATTCTCTGTCTCTCTCTCTCTTTCTCTCTCTCACACCCTCTCTCTCTCACCCCTCTCTCTTACTTTCAAGAAATAAAAAAGAAACTCTCCCCCATCTAAAATTCTCTCTCCCCCATCTGTCTCTCTCTCTTTCTCTCTGTCTGTCTCTCTCTTTCTCTCTCTCTTTCTCTCTGTCTGTCTCTCTCTTTCTCTCTCCCCCATCTGTCTTTCTTGCTCTCTTTTGCTCTCTCTTTCCCTTGCTCTCTCTATCTCGTGTATTTATTTTTTTTCAGAAATAACACCATGACTTTGAGAATTGGACAATAGATATAATTATTTACCAAATTCTTTGGAGCTGAAGAATTTGTCATGGAATTCTATTCTTTGCTGATTTTAGTTTATCAAAACTTATTATTTGAGAAGGAATCTAGCAAGAAGTCTCTTTGTAATTATATTGATTTGAACTTAAAATAAGTCTTTCTGTTGTGCTATTCATATAACTAATCCCTTGCATTTTGCCAAAAAAATTAAATAAACAAACTATTTTTGTATCAGATTAGCTACAAAAAATAAGTTGAAAGCAAAAATCTCAAGGAAAATATAAAAAGCTTACAGACTATTTCCAGATTACATTTTGATAGAATGTAAAAACATATTACAAAGATTTTTAAAAAAATATAATATTAAAAAAAAAACAAAAAACAAAATGTAAATTTTTAAGAAAAAAACAGGCAGAAGTGATCTCACTAACCAACTTGAGATCTTATTAAAAGTTCACCATTCCTCGAGCAATTAATGTCCTTTTTTGTTGTTGCAGACGTACAAGAGTCCTTCTGATTCCAACTTTTGATTTTCTTAGAACTTACCAATATAACATTGATCAAAAACTTTTTTTTTCTTTTTTTTTTTTTTTTTTTTTTTTTTTTTCAACCAAAGACTCAGCTTCTCTGACTGACTGTAATTAGATATCCAGGCTGAGTAGACACTGCTGATCAACAGCCTATTCAGAATTGATACTTGTCAAAATTTATTTACAGCCGAACTAATGTCTTTATCTTTATTATTATTGTTATTGTAGTCAATGGAAATTCTGTTCTTGAGGCATGATATCAACAAGATTTCTCACAACTCCAGAACTTTTCATAGAATGCTCATAGAGTAAATGATGGCAGTTTTCTGGAAGCCTTTAATCTTGGTCTCAGTTCCAATTTTCTCAAAGTGTTCTTTCAATAGTGGGTGCTATTCCAAGTGCACGCATTACTGTAAGAATTACTTCAATAGTTATGTTCCATCTCATTTTTTCAACTCCCTAGCAAGATCCTGGTATTTTTCAATCTTTTTAAGTTCTTTGGAATTCACTCTTGCATCATATGAAACAGCAAAATCAGTATCTGTCTTTATTTCTGAGATGAGGTATTATGTACATTATTTACATTATTCGGACTATTGTCCTTATCCCCAATGCCACATTCATTACGTTTCAGCCGTTGTACGCTCTGGCCTTCTTCAGGTGGTTGGAATGGCACGGTGGATAAAGGCATTGGTTAGATCCAGTGACAGGACCCAAAAGAGGGAGTTCAATACCCGGTTAAGGCAGTGGAGAACTTTCAAAGGGAAATTAACAGGAGATGAGATAACTGATGACTGACATCTGTTAGGCATGGTATGTGGAGCTGAAATGGTCTGCCCCAGTGAGCAAAGTAGGGGATTGGGTTCAACATTCCAACCACCTGAAGAAGGCTGGAGCATGCAACAGCCGAAATGTTGTAATGAATGTAGTCCGAATAATGTAAATAATGAGCAAAATCAGTAATTTGACAAATGTTACTTTCCTTATCAATAACAATAAAGTCTTCATTCTTCAATGACATGATCCATCTGGATAGAGAAATCCCATAATGACTTCTGACTGTTGTTTTCTACCACTGAATCTGTCTGACATTCATACCATTTCTCTTTCACGGTTAAGCAAAATTTATGCTATACTTCCCATTGAGTTCTCTTACCAATCCAAGCATGCCGCTGCTTATGTTGGTGTTTTTAGTAGTAGTATCCATGAAAATTTCAGAAATTTCCTGTTTGAATTCTGTTTTCTTGTTTTTTATCGTTTCACCTCAAGCAAGGTAGTAAAGCCTTTAAGACACAAGGGGTTACTGGGTGTGAAAGAATAAGAAAAAGAGAAACATTAAGGAACGAGAACAATAAAAGAGGAATCAAGAAGACAATAGATAATGATTTGACACTGCATTTAAATTATTGAAAATTGAAATTGACTAGAAAGCCAGAAGATTTCCATGTGTAAAACAGGCGAGAGAAGAAACTGTTAGCATAGAACTTAGTTGCATATAGCCAAACCATCTGTAAATTGTTGCCAATCTAGTACTTAAATACTTTCACTAAAATCAAACAGCATCTCTGATATGTCTTTTCCATCTTTCCTTGTGATCAAAACAAAACGGTCCATTATTTATGAGGTATTGGCAGGGCATGTTTTTTTTTTTTTTTTTTTCCTCACTGAAACCAAGTAGTGTCTCTGATTTTTCTTTCTGTCTTTTCACCTGATCAAAACTGAATAAGCCATTAAATCAAGAACTATTCCATTTTGATAATTGTATTGCCACGGCATAACATACAGCCTAATGAGGCAACTAAGAGAGGGACAAGCCGATTTATAAGATTATTGTAACAACAACATCATCACAACAGTTGTGCCCTCAGGCTTCTTCAGGTGTCTGTTGATCAGGGAAATTTTCTGGGAACTTTGAACAAGACTAATCTATATCTGTAGATTAAATAAAGAATTCAATTACTCATCCCAGAAATTCCAATAGAAACAAATTTGTTTTTATTAGAGTAACATAAATATTAATATAAAGAACGACTTTTTATTTTTTCTGCCTTGGGCTAAAATACTGTTATTTAAAAAACAAAACCTGATGCTTTAATAAACGAGAAATAATCATGGTTTGAATTTCAGGGATGAGGCATTATCTTTATTTACATTATTTATAGTCTATCTTATGTCCTCATCTTTGTTTTCATCACAACATTTTAATTATTGTGCCGTCTAGTCTTTTTCCAGCATCTATTCTTCAAAGAATTTCAAATTGGATATTTACAGTGGAGCAAGAATAATTTTTCCCCCATAGTTTAAATAAAGGTTTTAGTTCCAGATTTCCTGAGGGTTCTTCAGGGTGACAGACACATAAAGAACAGAGGGCATAACAGTCAAAATATTGTTTTAATAAAAACAAAGATGAGGATATTAGTCTGACTGTAAATAGCGCAAATGATAACCTGGAGTGACAGACACCTGAAGAAGACCCAGAGTCTACAATGGCCGAAACACTGTGATAACATCAAAAATGAAGATATTTGTCAGGCTGTCATAATAACTTGTCATCCCAGAAATACAGAGGGAATATATTTTTAAAAAATTATTCCGTAATGAATAACAAGATCTATAAATTTGTCTGATTTTTCAGGCCAAGGCCATTTTGCTATGGAATCTAGGCTAAATTCTATAATGGCTACAGAATTGATTCCACATCTGATTTTATTATTTTGTTGGGGTTTTATTTTTTGGGTGGGGGGCATTATTTATTTATTTATTTTTTTTTTTTTTTTTTTTCCAAATCAAGCAGGGGCAGATTTTCAAATATTTAGGAAGCATTTTAACAGAGGATGAAGAAACATCACACTGAGATCTAAACACACACTGGATTTGCAGAAGAAGCATTTCTAATGATAAAAAAAAAAGATGGTTAGGAACAGGTAAATTTCACCAGGAACAGTGCTGAATTGCTATGTGATATCCAATCTTTTATATGCCAGTGAATGTTGGACAATCTCTCCACAGATGAGGGAACAACTCGTGACCGCAGAAATGTGATTCTACAGAAGGATACTGAGAATTCCATAGATGGAGCAAGTAAGCAACAAGGAAGTTTTAAAGAAAATGGTAGCAAAAAGAACACTTACATTCAAGAAGACAGCTAAAATTCCTTGGACATATAATGAGAAAGAAAAGCTTGGAAAACTTAACCTTCACAAGGCATATTGAGGAAAGAGAGATCAGGGAAGGCAGCAAGCCACTTACCTGATGAGATTGTGTGAAATGGATGGTGGAACATAGGTGGGGAGATTAAAAAAAAAAAAAAGGAGAAAAACTGCTAAGAGCCACATGAGGTAGAATGTTGTGGAGAGCCATAATTGCTTGCATTCTGAAGGAGCATGGCATATAGAAGATACGTATTTTTAGGCCTCAGATTCTTGAATATTTGATATTTTTGTTTATTAATATTTTTAATATATATCTTAATGACTGTCTTGAGCTGCTCTTTGCTCTGTTATCTTTTGTTTAGGTTAAGAAAATCTCCTTCAGACGCGCACACACACTCAAAAAAAAACAAAAAACGCTTACTGTTAAATTCAGATTCTATAATCAAATAAGACTTGTCTTGACGATGATTTAGTTTACAAATTTTTTCTATATATTTTTCTTGCCAATTTTTATGGAAAATTTCAACACCATTTTTTTTCTTTTGACTAAGCCAATCATTAACAGGTCATCAAATTCCTCATTTTTTATTTTCTTAACTTTCAAAATGTCAAGCCTGTCATGTTATTCTCGTGGGTTTTTTTTTCACATTTATTTAACATGACATGCTTATCTATAAATGTGTATGTAAGCATGTTTAAAATTTTATATTGTATAGCATTTATTATATTTAGCAGTGTGTGTAACTACATTAATAAATAAATAAAAAAAAAATTAAGCCCCAACTATCTGACAGTTGTGGGTAAATGTTGGGGCGCTGAAATCTATGAAGAACCATTAAAAGAAGTAGGCTTGTCTGAAAAGTTTCCAAACAAATAATTTATCAAATAGTTCATAGATTTATGTCTGAAATTCAGAGATCACCTATTATGGTGCAATATTTTCAAATCTTCTGGTACGTTCTCCATTCCTTCTCAAGTATCTTCCAAATATAGGAAGTTTTGAATGAAAGATTTTATTTCATCTAGATGTGCAAAATATTTTTTTCTTATCTTTTATTTGTTTATATATGTAATTCCTCCAAGAGACTTAAACATTTAACATCTCTTTCATACCCAACTCTTCTTCCCATCCTTAAAGGACTGTCCTGTTCTATAAAAGCATTTCCCTACACTTTAATATTTAAATACTTTAAGTCATGAGATTAACAGCGAGATGCAGCCTCTTTATCTTTGAGATTATTATCCTAACAAGAACTAAAGTGTCACTCTGAGAAAAATCTAGAGACAGAACTAGCAAAAACCATCTGCTAAAAATAACAAAGATTAGGATATTAGTCTGACTGATGCATAGTTTATAAGTGCAGTTCCAAAAGCTGAGCATCCTGGGTATGATCATAAACTGCATCCAGCATCAAAGCTTCTGATCAGTAGGTTTTGGGTAACATTAAACCACCTCTTCATTGCTGTTGTTCCCAGGTCCACCCTGACCTGCGGTGGTAGCACTCGTTAGGGTCCAGTTACTGGAAAAATACTTAACCCTCCAGACTGGTGTTAAAACACTATGATAGTATAGATTTTTATAGTAAAAATACCAGCAATGCATTTTTGAAAAAAAAAAAAAAAAAGATATTACCAGCAATATATTTGATGCTCAACAAAAATTCTTCTGACAAAAATATATCAATGAAAAACTGATCTACAAACTGATTTCTTACAAATAATACATACCCTATTCATACAAACATATCCTAAAAATTTTGTCATCAATATGCTGTAAAACTAAATAAACCAAAAACCAAGATGATTGGAGCTTTGCAACTGATCTCTAGTCTGACTAAGCTTTAACAGCTCAATGGAGAAATGTGTCTTGTTACTTTCAATACCTCAAAAACCAAGATAGTATCATTTCATTATTATCATTCAAATACTAACTTTTCTACTGTAATGATGAACCATTTCATTCCCCAATGAGGCTACATGCTTTGAAAGTCTATTGAGTCTTAACTTTACTCCAGACCTCAAGTGAAACTTGTATATACCAGTTTTTGCTAAAAATGTTGAAAAAATTGTCAGCTTCCAAAATCATTCAGGAAAATCCAACTCCTGTGCTTTATTTTCATAGGCTAAAACTGGATCATTTCTGCTACACTTGAGCTGAAGCTGTTCAGTCCTCATTTTCCAGCCTTGATAGTTCAAACGTGTTTATGCAGTTTTGAGAAAGAAACTTTCTCTGTGACAATCTTTTTTTTCCTGAAAGATGCAACATTGCAAGGCTGTGACTGATTTATCACTATTCTCATGACATATTTTTATGAGCTCAATCAGTTCTGATCTTTATAGCTAGGATATACTATGCTGCTTCCACAGAGTTGAATCAAACTCATTTCTTCATTCTTTCTAAATTTAAGAAGGTTCAACTCGGACAGCTTTTTTCCCCAACAACTGTCAGATTTTAAAACAGATTCCTGAAAACTACTTCTCTGAACACTTCAATCTCAACCATTTAAAGTTAAGGCTCAATCATTATCTATCCTCATAATCTTCACTTCCATTACTATTACACTCCTCATAATTATCATTTCGATTGTAACTCTATCTTGAGTGGCTCTCGAGTCTTTTATTAGGTGAAATTTAGCAAAGAAAAAATATAAATGTAACCGTTCTTTCCTGTGTTTTGAAGCTTGATGTATCTTGTGTTTTGCCAACTGAATGCTTCTTATTGTAGAAATTGAATTTTACAAGAATGTATTTACAAGTACTGAAGTCAATTGATTAACATGCTTAATCACCCCTTTTTGCTAATTCTTGGAAATAATGAATAGTTTGTGGATTGTAAGTTAGGAAAGAAGGAATAATCAGGGGTCAAGAATATTTCTTTTTCTTCACCCAAAGCAAGACAATAGAGGTTACGGGGGAGAAAATGGTAACACTTCAGGAGAAGGAACCAGAAACACAATCTTAAACAGGAAACAAAGGCTAAACCTTGAACCCTGTTCAATAGATGGAAGAGTAGTGTGAGCTGGGCAATAGGCAATCCTATCTACTATTGTATCTACTTATATGATAATACATTATGATAACTTAGGTATTTTTTCTCAAAGTAATATGGTAACAGCATTTTGTTGCTACTGCTTAAGCAGGTAGGATAATTATGGGAGAGTGGTTTGCCAAATTTCTCGCTTAACTCTTTTCAGTCATGGATTGTGGCATATTAATGAAAAAGCATTCAGTATAATCTATTTGTCCATGGAAAGGAAAAAGTGGATTTATGCCTTTCCTAATAGTATAAGCATGAAGTGAACATAATCACCACAGGAATTTTAACTTGGTTTATGCACTGATTTATTCAGAAATATCCTCATCTTGATGGTTATAATCCTAATGTTTTGACCAGTATTCTGTCCAGATTTCAAATGTCTGCAATATTTGATAAACTTCAGGGAATTTTACACTAATCCCTTTAATCCATCTACATGAATGTATTCTTCTCAATCCACTGCTAAGGGATACCATATGACTATCAATTCTTCATAGTTAATTCATCCGTTTAATATTATACTTGATTTTTCTATTGAATTTTACTAACCTGGCCAAGGATTGAACTCATAACCTCCAGACAGCTTCATGCATTCAATAGATGCTTTTACTCAGTAAGCCATTATAAAGCAGCAAAACTTGTTTAAAAAGAGCAATTTAAGAAAGAACTTGCACAAAATATATCTGCTTGTATGAACAATGAAAAGTTTTGTCAAAAGAATTTGGTATAAAATTCCCACCTATAAAATGCCTGAGCCAAAAATGTCAAAAACATTGACTATGGCAATGATAACATTAGTTGTTTCCTTTATAAGGAAACTTTCAGCATTCATTGGCTGTGCAGCCAGTACTGCTGCTGGTTGAAATTTATAAAATGTTTCTCTTAAAACAATGTTTCTCTTAAAACAGGTTTTTCAATTCCAGTAGCTGCTATTGCTCTTTAAAGTATTTCTCGGTGGGATTCTTTCTTAACCTTTTATTTGAAGTAATGTGAAACATTAACATGATAGTCATTATTTTCTTACAGCAAACAAAATAAGACAACATTATATGATAAGTGTAAGTCCATATTGCAGAAATTCAAACAACTATAATAAGCCAAATAAAAAAAGACTGGTATTAATAGATCAGTGTATAATAATGATCATTACTCACTGCAGAAACTGCTCATCAACAAAGTTTGCAATACACCAATTACATCCCAACGAAGTGGTAAGACTCAACTAAAGGAGGCCATCTTCCAAGTAGATACTTGCAGACATAAGTATATATTGAACCAAGGTTAGATTGAGCTCTCAAGTTTTGGGTATCAACCTAAGAATAAATCAGAATTTAAAACTATGCAGAAGGCAAACCATTCCACCGTCTCTTTCAGGAAGTTTTTGGCAATCCAAAGATGATAAAGAAAAGGTATCTGTGGAAGCTGGGATTATTACCAATGTACTAGAGGGACATGACAAAAAAAAAATGATACACTAATCAAGTGGATCTCTATCTACCTTTTGGGCTTACATGTCAAGTGAACCCTTGATGACCTTTGATCTCAGATTGCCTGTCAAGCCTTTATTTTACATTTAAATAAACCAAAAAGGGTTAGTAAGTAATCATGTTAATGAACATAACATTTTGTAAATTAATTTCTAATCCTGGCAATGGTTGTGCTGTATAGATCTCAAATATGTTTACAAGTTAGATCATGCAAATGGTAAAATGTTATTTTTTTTTTTTTCTGGTTACCACCCCCACCCATTTAGTTTCTCCCTATTTGTAACTGGAACCCAAACTTTTCCATTATTCAACACCTGCCAATTTTCTTTTTCTCTGGTTAAAGAATTGAAATTGGTGAGATCATTATCACCAGAATATTTATAGATATTTTTCAATCCTGAAAATATTTAAGAATATTCTTTTGCTAAAAGCACTGAGAAAAATTTCCCACTTTTAGCCCCTTTCAGAAGGGGGTGAGAAAATATAAGAACTTATTTAAAGTCAAGTTAGGGTTTGTTTTTGTTTTTTTTAATCTTTTTTTTTTTTTTGCATCAGTTAATATCTCTATTCTACTTAGCCGTCCAAACCACTCTCAAAAGAAATCCATTCTGTAAAGATTTTCTGATTATATCCTGATAGATATCAGCCTCTCTACAATGAGAGTACAGTCTGAATAATTATGCTTCTGCCCACAAAATCAGAAAATTGATCATTGCAGAACTTTCAAAACTATAACATGCACATCTTCTGTTTCAATTATTCATGGCTCCTTATTTCCCAATAGCTGAATTGAATAACAGGTAAAAGCAGTACATCTGGTTGTATCTCTCTATCTCTCCCCCTTTCTCTCTTCTCCCCCTTTCTCTCTTCTCCCCCTTTCTCTCTTCTCCCCCTTTCTCTTTCTCCCCCTTTCACCTCTTTTTTCACCCCTCCTCTCCTTTTTTTTTTTCTCACCCCTTTTTTTCTCTCTCTCTCTCTCTCACCTTCACCCCTTTTTCTCTCTCTCTCTCTCACCTTCACCCCTTTTTTCTCTCTCTCTCTCTCACCTTCACCCCTTTTTTTCTCTCTCTCTCTCACTTTCACCCCTTTTTTCTCTCATTCTTTGAGCATTTAGGGATGGAGTTACTTTCTTTCTGTCCCTGCAGGTCCAAAAATAAATAAATAAACTCATGAGGACAGCAGCAGTACACAAACCAGCACCAGTTTTTTTCATGTATTTTCTTTTTCTTTTGAGACAAAGAATTCTAGAAACAAATAATTCTTTAAGATAGAATTTTATCAAAAAATTTTTTGTCTTGTTTCCCCCCACCTCATCTTCATTATTTTTTCTTTAAACTCTTTTTCCAATACTCTGTCACTGCAGCAGAAGATCAAGAAAATATTCCTGATTCTCTTGAATGTTTCAGACATCTTGTTTCAACATCTTCTCAACACATTTCCTTGACAGTCAGCTTGTCAGCTATCATAAAAGTGAAAAATTCAATGGACTAAGTCTGTACCTGAATTCCAAAAGGCTGCCCTTGAATTTACTTGTGTGTGTGATGCATAAAATGCATACATATATGAAGAATTATTTATTTATCTGATTGGAGAGATGGGTTTTTTTCTTCCTTATTTTTGTCTTTTGCTGCACAAATATTTGTGAGTGGCTTCCGTAGGAGCAGGAACTGACACTTATGCATGAAGACAGGAAGCCAAATCGGGGTCTAGCCTCTATAATTTTATAATCTTAAATGCCATTGCTGTTCACTTTGCCCTTGTAGAAGGCAAATTTCATGGGGATGTTAAGGAAAAGAACTTTGTTTTAAAGCCATAAATGTTATGGTCCACATACATCATTATTAGATGAGAAACTTTATTTTGGCAATCCATTTTCAATATATTTTTCCATTTTCCTTTTACTTTTTTCTTTTCTCTTTTTCCCCTTCCTTTCTCTCTCTCTCTCTCATATATATATATATATATATATATATAAAAAAAATATAAAAAAAAAAATTTACATTAGTGTATATGTGGGATATATATATATATATATATATATATATATATATATATATAAATAATATATATATTATAAAAAAATTTTAAATTACCTTCAAATATTACTCTTAATTTGAAATCTAAACTTTAAGAAAGAAAGATTACCATCTAAAAAATAGTTACAAATTACATTCTTGAATTAGATTCAAACTGATAAAGATGTTACCTTAACAGTCATTTACAATATTAAAAAGATTACTATCAGTAAACTGTTATATTTTTTTCCCATTCTTTTAATGTGTTCTCTATGAATGTGTTAATAAATACAGTATTTAAGTTATATTAAATCCCTAAATTATTTGTAAAAGAGTTAAATATTTAAATTGCTAGCAAGCATCAAATTTGAACATTTTAAATTACTATCAAACATTAAAATCTATTTTTTTAGATAAATTGCTAAAAATATACCACCCCTTTTTTCCGACGTAAAACCTAATTACAGCTTCTGTCTCTTTACTTCCCCCTTCTTTCTTTTTTCTTTTTCTCTCTTCTCCTCTCCCATTTCAATATATCACTTCCGTTAAGTTAACCGTTTAAATAGGTCAGTGTCTGGTCCCTCCTCCCCCAATACTAAGTATGATTGAAAGAAATATTAAAATAAACCGTCTCTAAACTCGACCATGTCTCTCACACCAGTCCTCACTACCCTCTCTGTTAAATTACATAAACTTAATTAATACTACCCGTCAAAAGTGTGAATTTTCATTTCATCTTTTGTTCATTTTTTTTTTTTGGAAGTGTTATCTGAAGATCCAGTGTCCCTTAAAAGGGCTCTGGTGAAATAAATTATTATACTGGAACCTTAAAGTGGTTTGTTTTTCTTATATATATATATATATAGCCATATATATTCGAGGATACCGTCTACTAGGGTAGCTAGCCAATCCCTGTTGCAGACGTTTGCTCAGACACATTTGTGTTTATTCAACACCCAGAGAGCCCATCTGTGGTTTATACTGCAACTATGCTGAGCAGACCTTAGTTTCTGGGGAAAGAGCGTGTTATCTAGCATGATCAACAATTTGAACAGGGCCAGCATGTTCAATCCCTCGGCCGTGATGACTTGTGAGTTTGTGCTAGCACAGCTATCAACGGCACCCAAGGGTTCCATCTACCAAATTTCACTCACAAAGCTTGGGTCAACCCATAGCATGGTTTTCAGGCCCTTTCCAAAAGTGCCACATGCTGCGATCAAGCCCTCCAGTCTGATAACATCAAGAAGTCTCCTTCCTGACAAATCGACCATGGTGAGATTCGAATCTGGGTCTCCTGGTCAGAATGTGAATGTTCTAACCACTCGGCTATGTGCCCATATATATATATATATATATATATATATATTATGATAAAGTGGACAAAGTCCGACAATTATTTTAAGACAGTCTTATGTTTATACATTCTTTTTGTAATGTGTGATGTCATTTGTTTACATTTGGATACACATCGAGAAAATATGAATGTATGAGAGAAAATCATGGAGAATTGGAGTTTAAAAACAGTAAAATCGACCTTGCTAACCAAAACGCTCCTCTGTAGCTCAATCGGTAAAAGCATGTCAGGCTATATGACGGTTCAATATAGGATACAGGTTCGATTCCTGTCAGAACACATATTAGCTATGAAAATTTCTCGGGCATCAGGCTGGAAAATTGTACCCCTAAAAAAAGAATTAATATTTCTTCCTATTTTAAGTTGTTAATCAGTAATCACTTTTGGTCTTCTGGAATTAATTTTATTTTTGAATATCATATTTCTGTTCAAAAATAGTGTTTCTTATACTGGACGTTCACTACCAAAACCTTAAGAGTGAAGAATTATAACATTAATAATCTCTGTCAGTTATTTAATAAAAATCAAAGGTTTTTACCTTTTCATTTATTCATGTCTAAATATGAAACACAATTTTTATCATTTTAAAAAAAAAAAACAAAACAGAATATTCATTAAAAAAGAATTTGTATGAGGTCATCAAGTGCAAGTATATTTGATGAAAGTTTATGGTTGTTTAGTTAGTCTTTTATAAACCATTAGATTTAACTTCCATTGTTGAAATCAAAGTTTGTACTCATTTGTTTTAAATACACATCTTCCGTGTGACTGGGTGGTTTTTAAATTCTTGTATTTGGTCACTTTTAGGACCCCACCCCCTCCCTTTATATTTAATATTACAATATAATGGAGTTAGACTATGTGAAAGTACTGGTTGTCTATGATATCTGGGTAAACATTAGCTAAACAGAAATCTTGATTTCACTTTTAAAACTTTGGATACCTTTAAGAATTTTTAGGGTCAATTTTGGGGTTGGAAGTGTCTTAAAACAATCAAATCTTCTTCCAGCAGATTTCTAAATTTTCACACTCACTATATAAGGTATATTTAGGCAGCAAGTTTAATTTTTTTTTTAAAAAAGTATTTACCAGGTATGTTTTAAATTTTTTTTTTTTCTATTATATTTTACCAATTTTCAAGTAAGATGTGCATTGGGATCAAAATTATGGATAAACTGTTTGGATTCTATGTTTGTTGTTTTGTTCAAGTACTTTTAGGCATATCAATCATTTTCGAGAACCAATGTGTGTCTGTGATAGGGACGATTCCATTATATATAGCCTGGTATTCTTTGGAAAGGAGACAGTTGGAAATAATCATGATGTGTAACAGCTATCACACCAAAAAGGATGCATATATTCTGTTGAGGTTTCTTCTAGACTCGATGAGTTACTTAATGATAATTATCTCAAATCCTCCTAATTTCTATCACTTATATGTCCTTGCTTGAACCGGCTTCTAATGCCCTGGATGGAGTGGTTTAGTGATAGTCGTGGAGGCTCAGTCCTGTGGGTAAAAGAGAAACTCAGATGAGTTCGCACCACAGAATATGTAATCGAGTGGTGCTATATTGAGTCTGATTCACTACCTCTTCGTCACCAAGGCCCATTGGAACAATTGGTATGACGTTTACCTGATAACATAACTGTCTGGGTTTCAATTCTCGGTAGTGGATGCGCAATGCTAAGTCCCAAATATAATGGCTGTCCAGTGCTTTCTGCATTTTGTTGAGGTTTCTTCTAGACTTGATTAATTACTCAATTATAATTATCTCAAATCCTCCTAATTTCTATCACACACACGCACGCACACACATACATATATATATATATATATATATATATATATATATATATATATACATATATATATATATATATATATGGAAAAGGTTATAGTTGTTTTGAGAGAAAAATGTATATTTTAAAAAGAGAAACCGCAAATATTTTTGGTTATAATGTGGATTTGTTTTAGTATAGATATATTTTATTCATCATATTTCTGCTACACGTTTCCGATCACATGACCTTCTTTTTTGTTCTCCATGGATACCTGTTTGCATGTATGTACATACACGTATGCACACACGCACAAACAGATATCCACGGAAAACAAAAAATATATAAATATACTGGCAAAAACAGACTACTCACAGGCACACACATGAACACAGAAAGAATATATGTGTATGCTGATTCCTTATTATAAGACAGTATGTATATATGGGAAGGGAATTTACATATGCAGGCTAACAGGGATAGGAAGACATCTCTCATTAACACATCTATTATCACCAGCTCTCATGCCAAACCTAATGGTTTTATTAACACTTAAGCAGAGATTCACTTTCGACAACAGTCCAGAAAGGAATTCAAGACTCACTAACAAATACAGAAAATGAACAGTGAGACATTAAAAGAATAAAAGGAAAACTTATTCCTTTTAAAAATTTGTTCCTTTTATTTGCCTGAAGGTCATGAGACCAGAAACACATGTAGCAGAAATATGATGTATAAAATATTATACATATACTAAAACAAATCCACATTATAACCAAAAACGTTTGCAGTTTCTCTTTTGTGTGTGTGAGTGTAATATATATATATATATATATATATATATATATATATATATATATATATATAATCTTAAATTTATAATTTCATACAAAAATTCAAAATGTCTAATCTAATCCTTAGAAATAATTCATCACTTCAAAAATCTACCTTATGAAAA